CTGAAGCAAAATACCCAACACCCGAAGTTAAGGGATAAAAGGGTCACTTAGCTCACAGTTTGTAGAGGTATTAGTCCATATCAGGAGGGCAGCCATTCATGGCAGCAGAAGGTACAAAAGGCAACAAAGATTATATTATTTTTTCTTTTCTTTATTCCCTCATTTATTTACTTATTTTACTTTCTTCTGCTTTCCTTTCCCCAAGTCCCAGAAGGGGAGCCCCATAGGCCAAGCCCTCTGAATCTTGTGTGGCCCAAAGTGATCCCCATTATAACTCTGAGAGGGAGGCAGCCATGTGTCCTTTACAGAAATGAAGAAAGCCCATTGTTACCTACCATGAGGTGACAGAGCCAGGATGCCACATCCCAGCACAGCCCCACATCCTGCCATAGTTCCCAGACCCTGTTTCTTGTCCTTCCTGGAAGAAATGAGCACCCTCAGCACCCTCACTGGGCCACCTGAGGCCTGCCTTCCCCTCATGCCCAGTCCCAACTCCACCCATGACACAGACCATGAGGGAGGGACGAGGAGGGGAGACACTGAGAAGGTGGCCAGCACCCACCCAGCCCAGTAGCCCTGGTGCTGGGTGGCGAGAGGCATAGAGAGACCTCCTGTCGCTGGGTGGCTCCCTTTATACCCTACACACCTTCTGCATTCCTTACCAGGTGGCAGTGGCAGTGGCAGTGGGCTATAAACACGCTATGGAAAATGCAGCACAGGGGCAGGGGAGATAGCTCAGTAGAGTAAGAGCTTGCCTGGCAAGCAGAGGGTCCTGAGTTCAATCCCCGGTACCTCAAAAAAAAAGAAGAAGAAGAAGAAGAAGAAGAAAACGCAGCACAGAAGTAACTCCCTCAGGTCCCCCTCCTTTCAAATTCGATTCCATTTGAGATTTAGGTTCCAACCTGCACTCTCAGCTCCACCCTCTGCCTCTTTAAACTACCCAAAGAACAAAAAGAAAATGTGTTCGATCATGTTTTTTTTAATTTCCCTGAAACAATTTCCATATAGACATACCCTACTTTTTCTGTTTTTGTAGCACTGAGGACTGAACCCAGGGCCTTTGCCCTGCGCTACATCCTCAGCCCTTTCTTGTCGAGGGTTTTTCTACATAAACAGTTCATGGTAGGCAGAAAGCAGCAAAGCAGCTAGGCAGTGAAGCAGCTGCAAGCAACAAGCTAAATCAACAGCAGCCCTTCATTTGCCTTTATATTGTATCCAGGCTACACGCACTTAGGGGGCTAGCACTCACCCCCACAGTGGGTCACCCTCAGTCCTACTCAAAACTGTTACGGGTCAACTCTGTATAGGAACCAAGTCAGCCACATAGAAATTTCTATTTCTATTCTATTTGAATAGAGCCTTTTATTTACTGAGCTCAGGTCCATCAGTCACTTCTCACACAGGAGAAGGCTGATCCGCCCCAAATGTAGGTAGCAGGGGGGTATTTATAACAGAAATCACATCCAGTTTGGTAAGCAAATTTGTTATCTAGCGCAGAACAACAGAAACTACATTTATTTGACACAGCTGCAAACTGTTTATAACTAAAAGGTCTTTTACAGCTTAGTGATAAGTATATATTTTTACAAGATATATCTTAAGCTGACTACGTTACAGGAGATGGTTGGGGAAGGAGTTTGTGTTAGCTTGCTGCCTTGACAAGAAACAGTTATTTATTGTTAAACAGCCTAGAGCCAAAAGAGAGAATATATTTCTTAGAGTACATAACAGGAAACACAAGGGAGTTTTATAATTTTTTACAGTTAAGGCACAAAACTCTGTTAACCCTTTACAAGAACTATGCCAAAACAATCTGTGGACTAATTTAGTAATCACACGCCCTCGATCCCAGCATCACACACTCTAGATCCAGCCACCTTGGACCACATGAGGCTTTGGGGACACATATGGACACAAGCCCTAATAGCCTATGCACAAAAAGACAGGAAGCTGGGAGTGGTGGTGCACACTTGTGATTCCAGTACCCTGTGGCTGAGGGAGCAGGACTGTCACGAGTACAAGGCCAGCCTGGGCCACACAATGAGTTCAGGTCCAGTCCCAGAGCTTCACAGTGAGAACCTGTTCTTATAAACAGCAAAACAGGAGCAGTGGAAGAAGCAAGGACCCCAGGGCCGCCCAAAGCTGGGCGCTGCTGCATCTCATGTCTAGTGCCTGCGTTCTGCCACTATCACCACCATGTCTGAGAGAAAGCCTAAAGGGGATACTAAGGGCGACAAAGCCAAGGTGAAGGGTGAACCACAGCGAAGATCTGCAGGGCTGTCTGCTAAGCCAGCTCCTCCAAAGCCAGAGCCCAAGCCTAACAAGGCCCCTGCAAAGAAGGGAGAGCATGTACCCAAAGGGAAAAAGGGAGAAGCTGATGCCAGCAAGGATGGGAATAGCCCTGCAGAAAACGGAGATGCCAAACAGACCAGGTATAGAAAGCTGAAGGTGCTGGAACTTCCAAGTGACATGTATGTTTTTTTTTTTTTTTTTTTTTTTTTTGTGGAACAGGAGATTGAACTCAGGCCCTTGCGCTTGCCTGGGAAGTGCTTACTCTACTGAGCCATCTCCTCGGCCCCCGTGTGTGCATTTTTGATAACTGTGTACTTCTGGTGACTGAACAGTTTGAAATGTTATTTTTATCAAGTTTTATAAAAATGTATTTTGTTTTACTTTTTTTAAGCTACATTGTTAGCACACAGAACAGTTCATTGTTGTTTTGGGGGGAAGGAACATTGATGTGGGGACGGCACCTTTCCCTGCTGGTTCTGAGAAGCTTCCTCTTGGCTCCCAGGAGGAGGGAGCCCCTGATGTTGACACATGTGGTCACCTTGGCATAAATGCCTTGTGGCACAGGACAGCTCCCAGTTCGTTTTATGTCCTCCTTTCCTCTGCTATCAGCATAGGTTTAACTCCCTTAAGCCCAGAGACCCATTGGGATCTGACTTCCAAAACTGATGTCACCAGCGTATCAGGCCATCAGGACTTGCCAGTAACATTGAGATGGCGTCCCACAAGAGCAATTGGTTTCTTTTTCTAGATTGTGAATCTTCACATTAATAATTCTGCCATTTTCACTTCCTGAAAGTCAGGGTTGGCTTGTGAATTTTTTTTTTTTTTTTTTTTTTTTTTTTTTTTTTTGCGGAACCAGGGATTGAACTCAGGACCTTGAACTTGCCAGAGAAGCACCTATTCCACTGAGCCATCTCCCTGGCCCCTGAAAAGTTGTTAAACAACATGCTAAATGTGAAATGTCAACCCTTATTCCGAACTTTCCCTCCTTCAGAGCCTCAAATGAAGACTTCCCTCCTTCAGAGCCTCAAATGAAGACTTCATTGGATTTGATAGTGGCTTTCTGATTTTTGGTAGTCCATCCAAGAGGGGAGTTTGAAAGTTGGTGTATACTATTAACGATTGTGTGCCCATGTCCTGCCTGAAATACCACGATTGTTTATGAAAAGTATCTTTAGTAAAGCTACATACAGTGAGTGTCGAGGTGGCTCAGCAGACTAAAGCGCCTGCTTTGGCAAGCTTAGGCAAGCACAGGGATGTGATTGATTCCCAGCAAAGGATGCTGCGCCAGCACCACCACCAGGGCAGGCTGAGCAGGCCAGAGTCCAGGCTTGTGCCACATGCATGTCATCCCAGTGCTGCTGAGGCTGGAAGTCTGAGCTGGGTAGCTACCAAATACATTAAAAATAATAATAATAAGGGCAGGGGAGATGGCTCAGTGGAATAAGTGCTTCCCTGGCAAGTGCAAGGGCCTGAGTTCAATCCCCCGTTCTGCAAATAAATAAATAAATAAATAAATAAATAAATAAAATAAAGTTTAAAAAACGATAGTAAAAAGATGGATAGTTTGGCTTGGAAAAAATAAATAAATAAATAAAGCAAAACACAAACCAAACCAAAACAAAGTCACCAGCAACACAGGGGAAAGTGCTGTGACTGAGATGAGGCTAGAAAATATGGGAGGTTAGCCTTTCTTTTTGAGACAAGATGCTGTATGCAATACAGGCTGGCCTTTAGCTCACTCCGTAGCCCAGGTTGGTCTCAAACTCAGAACCGGTCCTCCTCCTGCCTCTCCCTCCCAAGTGCTGGGATTACAGGCGTGCACCACCATGCCCACTTAAATTGGCATTCTTAATCTCCCTAAAGCTTAAATTGTATAGTGTCTATTATTAATAACAAAATCATCAATTTTAATCAAAACATTAAACTGCCACACAGGTTGCTTCAGTCGTCAAATCTTCCCTCTGAGGACGGCTCTAAGGATTTCCACCCTAAAAGGCTGGACATTCAATCTCAACTATCCAATTCTACTCATCAGCCAGCACCAATCAATCGCCTACCAACGGATCTGAATTCCTTTCCAATCTCCTCCTATGTTTAGACCAGACCCTCGTTTTTGGAGACAATCTAAAGTCAAGGCGATAAAGCACCAAAAACTCAGTCTGACAAGGAAAGCGGCCAAAGACTTTCGGGAGCTACCTGAAGCTGAAGGCAGCTCGGCCTAGAGCCACGCGGGGGCGCCCCGAGCCACTGCTTCGCCGCCGAGAGCCAATCCCCTGACGCCCCGAGACCGGAATGTCGCGCCGAGCCGCCAATCAGCGAGGACGCTCGACGCAGACGCGCTGCGCGTGACGTCACGCAAAATGGCCGCGCCCTGCGTGGTTTTTCCCGTCGCTTAGGCAGGCTGTGCGTTTCCAGCAGCATGTTCCCCCTGCGAGCCCGCGGCCTCAGGGTCGCAGCGTCCCTCAGCAGACAGCACCTTCCGTCGGCCCGGCTCAGCGGCGACGGCGCGGCGCCCGGCTGCCCGCACTTCGACGTGGTGGTCGTCGGCGGAGGTCACGCCGGGACCGAGGCTGCCGCCGCCGCCGCGCGCTGCGGCTCCCGGACTCTGCTCCTCACGCACCGCGCGGACACGATCGGTGAGAGCGGCAGCCGGCGCCCGGCGCCCTCGGGTCCCCCCTGCCGCCCTCCCGGCTCTAGAGATCCGGCGCCGGCGGATACGCTGGGGCCCGAGCGGGTCCGTTCTGGCAGCCGCGGAGCTGCTGCTGCTGGCGAAGCCTTGCGCTGGGCAGGCAGGCACGGTGTGCCGGGAGGGAGACGTGTCTGTTTAGATAAATCCATGTTGAAGATCTTTTATTTTTTTT